AGGGCTGGGCACCCCTAGAGTAAAGCCAGTCGCTGGGTGGGGAGGGGCTGCCCCAGCACAGTTTCTGCGAAGGAGAGGCCATGTGACTTTTTTTTTCTTTTTTTTCTTTATTTCATTTTCTTTTATACATCCAAGCACATTATTTAGCTTACAAAGTGAATATTTCAGTATGTGAACATTTCTCCCTAGTCCAGTTTTTAAAACTATAAAATATCTTCAACAGGTAATACCACATTTCTTTGTCCCATTAATGCTTTGCTTTCATGTTTTTTTTTCTAAATGTCAAGGGGGCAGGATGGGGCTCACTTAAGGTCATCTGGGTGCTGAAGGGGGAGAGCCCTTCTGCCTGGCTGGTTGCATTGCATGCTATTCAGAGTGTGGGGAGAGAAGCCCTGGAGTCTGGCCGTTCCACTTGGATACCTGAGGCTTTTGACTAAGAGCAGTTCTGGGCAGGGGACTGCAAGGAAAATGCTACTTACTAACATTATTTTGTTTATGAGAGCAAGAGCTTGGAGGAAGAGGAGGGTGAGAGACAGGTGTCCTCAGTAGAGTCTCACCTTGGTGGCGCCCTGCCTCAGCCCCCAGTTAGCCAGGACCGCAAACATACAGCCTGTGTGCCCTGGCCTCGTGTAGCGATGCCGTCCAACGGTGACACTGGTTGGGGCAGGTGCCAGCTAACATTAGGCAGTTACTAGTCGGGAACTATGCTAAGCAGTTTCCATCTAAGCTAACCCTCACCGCAGCCCTGTGAGCAGGGAATGATGACGCCGTCCTCTGACAGATGAGACCAAGGCACCACAGACCAAGGGGAAGGCTGACTTCGCAAGGTCAGAGCGAGTGAGCCCGAGCATGGACCCCCAAGTCCATGCTCTTCAGCCCTCCTCCTTCAACATCCCATGCGCTCAGGAGAGGGTCAGAGAGAAGACTGTGGCCTGCCATGGGCCAGGAGAGAACTTGGGCACAGACGAGTAGGAGGCCCAAGCTAAGCCATCTTAGGGTGGACCAGCAGTGGGCTGCACAGGGCCCTCAGTGCCAAGGACATGCCCTTCTGCTTGCCCCACCGTCATGGTAGGTGCTACAGGACACTCAGGAAGTGACTGAGGCCTGGCCTAGCTGGGGCGGGCTGTGCCTGCTCTGATGTCCATTTTTCTCGTCACCATTTTCTGTAGAATGACCACAGCTTTGTTCTGGCCATCCCCTCCTCAGGGCCTGTTTGGTATGAGATAGTTTGGAGCTGAAGCAGCTCCCCGTGACCCGCACATCACTGTTGCCTGGGGCCCACAACACACAGCTGTGACTCCCGCTGCCTGTGACCTGCAGCTGCAGTGTCGTAAGAGTTGACCCCTGTGTGCCAGGACCTCTGAAGCATTGCTGATGCATGTTTGTTTTGCAGGAAATGCTGCTTGGGCGATGGCCACTTCCAAACCTGATATTTTGATTATACTGTTACAGAAATTAGTGGAGGAAGGAAATGTGATGTACAAGGTGAGTGGTGTCCCCTTCTACCCTGTGGCATCTGACTCCTAGCAGCCACACTAAGACTGGCGTGGCTGAGCCGTGCTGAGCAGAGTATACGGAACTCACGGTCCTAGGAGTTCCAGGAGGGGTAACCTGGCCTTGTGCCCAGGCTTGTTTCATATCTTAAGGGTAGAAAGTTCCTTCTTGTGTCTGAGAACCATGAATCTGGAACTAGTCCTTGAGGCTGTTGCTGTGTCTTGTGCCTGAAGACACGGCATGAAGGAGAGCTGTCCAATCAGTTGACACATCCTGTAGGAGGTTCCTTAGCCTTTTGCACCCCTCGGGTTCAGAGCCCAGGCAGCGACTGAGTCATAAGACAACATGGGAAAGGAGCACCCAGGAGACATTTCCCAAAGAAAAGAACCATTTAATGTCTCAAGTCTGTACTATCTAATTATCAAAATTTATAAATGTCTAGAATTTGAAAGTGTTTCTAGGGATACTTAAGACAGTCAAGTAATATATAATATGTAATATATAATATGCGAGAGACTGATTTTTTTCAGTTTTCTCTTAGAAATGGAAATGTGAGTTCCAAAATATTGGTTTAGATCTGAGATCAGTGACACAGGCCAGATAATAAGTCCTTTAGGCATGGCAGACTATCTGGCCTGTGTCCCAACTCCCCGATTCTGCTGTGGGGAGGCCAGGGAATGGAAGTGTCTCAATAAAACTTTATTTGTAAACCCATGTAGCCGGCCAGGTTTGGCCTGCAAGGTTTGCCTATGTCTGGTTTAGATAGATCTCTAGGCCACTGATGCAGATTGCTATCCTTTCTGGATCTGTGATTAGAGAGAATTTAAAGACTATAGTAAAAAAAAAAAAAACCACTAGATTATGACCATTTTAATCCCTTTTACAATGAGCTGCTGTGCTGGCTACGTTTCAGGCTTTTTCCTTTTCTTTTTGTAAATAGCAACAAATAAACAGCCATATAGAAGCCCAGCAGGATTCCTGGCTTGGAGTCAGTTTGAAATTGAGTTGAGAGTGTGTACTGTTGGGGCTTTGAAGTGGTTTTAATATGGATTTTGGTAGGCAATTATGTCAGAAATACCAAGCCATTTTCAACAGGCCTCATACCTGCTGTGCAGCGGGAATGCCTGAGCAATTGGATTTCTTTAGCCTTGAAAATGATGTGTGGTGCTGTCCTGATTTGGAAAGCCCTCGCTTTAGTTGCCCTTAAAGGAAGAAATTACTATTCTGCAGCAAGCTCGAGGTTTGTCCACAAGGCTCTACTTGTCTTAGGAGCTGCATCATTTTTTCATCTGATTTCTATCACCCTTTGCATTCGAATACCTTCAGATGAGATACCATTGATGAAAACATTTTTGAAAATATACCCAAAAGATAATCTGTTGCATTAAGATGGATAGGTGTCAGTTTGGCAGTTATAAACACCTCTCATCGTAAGACCGTCCTCGTATGTGGGAAGCCACAGGCTGCAGGTGCAGGTGAGGACAGGGAGGCCGCACGTGTTCAGACCAGCCAGCATCCCAGCTCCTAGCGGGCCTTACTCGTTCGGATACTCCCCGCATTCTGTAATGGCTTTGTGCGGGGAACAGCCATCACAAGGGTCTCTGGCTGGGGATGCTTACCAGTTGAGAGCCTCTGAAAAAGGATGCATTTCTGTGATTTCGAATCCTAGAAAGGGAAGATGAAAGAGGCAGCCCAGAGGTACCAGTACGCCTTACGGAAGTTTCCTCGGGAAGGATTTGGAGAGGACATGAGACCTTTCAATGAACTAAGAGTTTCCCTCTATCTCAACTTGTCTCGATGTCGAAGAAAAACAAACGTAAGTCGTCCCATCATTGCGGGCCAGTCCTATAGCAGTAGAACTTTACCATGCGGGGAGGGCCAGATCCGGGCCTTGCTGTCTGACTTGTTAGCACCTTTGCGTGGTCCTGGGCTGTGAGCAGCTGCTTCTCTTGTTTGATCCTCCTGGGCTCGCTGTCACCACCCATCCCTCCAGGTGTGGGCGGGATGCACTGGGTGCAGTTTCCTCTGCCTCAGGGGTGGGAAGCAAAGGCAAACTGCCCCTGCAGGGATAAGCCTCATCTTCCCAAGTCACCCACCCCAGATACAGAGGGAAGTCCTGCACAGAGGTCTGTCCTCTGCCTGCCTCCTGCACGTTCCATTTACTCAGAGAGTCTATTCGGCCTGCCTCCTGCACGTTCCATTTACTCAGAGTCTCTGTTCATGACTAGTTCATTTATAACTAGTAGTAGTTAACTCATAGCTAATTATAACTAGTGGATTTCAGCATTTATTTTCCATTGTGTTTACCTTCATCCTTCTACCCTCGTCACTGGGGTCTGCCTTCCTGCTGGGCTCTGCTCCCAGGCGGGTCCTCCCTTGGGGTACCCCTGACCCCTGCCTCTTCTGCCACTACGGTTCCCGCTCCTGGGCTGTCAATTCCTGCTTCTCTGAGAACACTCAGAAGCTGTCATTAATCGCCTGACTTTGAACCAAACAAGCTGGCCAGGAAACCACCCTTTGCCCTAATCCTTCTCGTCATGGCCCAGCTCTACTGCCCCTTAGGGAGGACTCCCCGTCGTCAGGTGTCAGAGCTGCCTTTGACTCTTGTGCATTTCAATCTTGATACCAGGACTTTGGCCTGGCAGAAGAATTTGCTTCCAAGGCCCTGGAATTGAAACCCAAGTCCTATGAAGCCTTCTATGCCAGGGCAAGAGCGAAGAGGAATAGCAGGTATTGTCTGGGGTGACTAAGAGATGATGTTTCTTCTTTGGGATCAAACCTACTAGTTGAATTTGGGGAGGTTTATAAGGATTTCTGTGATTCTAGATGCCTTGTCCCCTCTGATTTCCAGCTTCCACAAGAGGTAGCTGGCATTCTCAGTGGCCTTCTGTTTTTGCCTGACATCTGTTCTCCCCAGCCCCAGCACCGACATCCTGAGCCGTTAAATTCCTAGTCCAGTCCCTGTGGCAGTGGAGCTGCCAGCCCGAGGCACTGAGCCGTGGAGCAGAGCAGGTGGTTCAGGACTAGCAACCAGCATTAGAGGAGGGCAGGAGGGCATGGCTACGGAGGCCCTGCAGCGCTGGCATCCTGGTGAAGTTGCTGGCCGCCCTCCAGCCCAGTCCATAGCCACTGCAGGGCCTGCAGCGGGGCTCGAGTTAGGATTCAGCTGCCGCTTAGCCGGTCATTCCGGACCCGTGAGGCATCCCGGCCCCCGTCTCTTTCTGACCACATGGCTGTCCTTTGCGAGCTGGCGGGCCAGGTCTGCAGGGCTGTGACTCTGTCTTGTGTTCCCACGAAGGCAGTTCGCGGCGGCCCTGGCTGACTTGCAGGAGGCGGTGACGCTCTGCCCCACCAACCAGGAAATCAAGAGGCTGCTGGCCCGCGTGGAGGAGGAGTGCAAGCAGCTGCAGCGGAGCCAGCAGCAGAGGCAGCAGGGCCCGCCGCCCTCCGCCAATGACTCGGACAACGAGGAGGACGCCCCGACCCCGGGGTTAGACGACCACTTCCACCTCGAGGAGGCGGAAGAGGAAGAGACTTCTCCGCTGGAAGAGCCCATTTCCCCGCCTCCCAGGTGCCACCCCGCGTCGGCTGCCCAGTCCCCTTACATCCGAAGTCTCCAAGAGGGGCTACAGCCCAAAGGCAGGCCGGCGTCGCCGCAGGGCCGCGCGGGAAAGCAGGCCCCCGCGGGAGGCCGTGGCCCGGCCGGGTGTGGTCCTGCAGCCCACCAGGCAGGCCCAGATCGTGAAAACCAGCCAGCACCTGGGCTCGGGCTCAGGCCCAGGCCCAGGCCCGGGCCCGGCGGGTGGGAGAAACGGTAGCATAAAAAGTCAGGTCCCTTCTCAGAACCCTCCACCGAGCCCCATGCCAGGAAGAGTCCCCACGGCACCTGCGGGGAGCAGAAACCATCACGTGGAGGGTGCTGGTACCTTCTCCGGGGCCCCCGGCTGTGGCCATTTTGGGGACCGGCTGGGCCCCAGCCAGAGCGTCCAGCTGCAGCGCAGTGAGAGCGGGTCTGCGTTTCCCTTGCCCAGCAAGATAAAAACTGCAGAGCGGCT